TCCCAGGGCATCCTTTTGAGGTTTTGGCATCATACAGACCACCAACAAAACGTGTCGAGGAGCCTGCACTAGACTGGAAATGAAAAACATTCTCTCAGCTGAATTTTTCAGAGCTCCTCCTTGGAGGGCAGAACCTGATCCCAGGGTTTCTACCCCAGGACTTGGCCTTGAGGGTGAGTAAAGAAGATACCGTGTCATCTAAATGTGTCCCGAGTGACCTCATTATAAAGAGTGTAGCTGTTTCTGGCTCCCTGTGGGAGTGTGACATCCCCAAGGGGGAAATGAGCCTTTTCTGCGCTTCGATGCAGGAGCTATTGTGGATTAATACCAAGAAGCCTGTCTCTGCCCTTGGAAACAGACTGGACCCATCAGGGCAGATACAGCAGAGGAATCCCCAGGGGTTGGTGTTAGGACAAAAGGAAGTGTCTCTCAGGTTGGAGATGCAAAGGCCGTAATGTGACTTCATAGCCTTGTTCAGGATTATTTAATAAGTTATTCTGAACACGCCTCGTACATTATAAGGGAACTGAACACGGGGTTTAAATTCTAGTGCTATTCTATAATAATAACTTAATAAAAACCAGTAGGCTCCAGTGTCTGCAGCTGACCGAGCAGTGGTGAACCCCAGCTCTCTAGATTCTGAGATTATCACTGGGCATTTCTGCTCAGTGGCTGCAAGACACCCTCAGCACAGACAAAGTGTCCCCAAACCAGGAATCAGCCTCCTGGAGCCTGCCTTGTTAACACAAATATAAAGAGGCATAAGAACAGTGTGTACTTACCACAAACTCCGTGAACACATGGGTGGAATGTCACTTACATAACCTGGCAGGTTGCAGTTGTGCCGTAATGTTACAAACCCTGGCTTTCTTAAACCAGCAGAAATCTCTAAGGTCTTCTTTTTAAAAAGGAGTCTTTCCGTTTCCTGCTGGAGACAATGCTCACAGCATGAGTAATGCCCATCAGTTATCAGTAATTTAGCAGATTGTGCCAGTGTTGACATTTGTTCTTGGCTTAATTGTGTGTGCGCGTGTGTTTTAAACAATGATGCAGCTGTCCCCATTGCTGGCAATTAGGATATAAAAATGGTGTTCACTGAATCTGGCATAGTGATCAGCTATCCATGTGTTTACTCTTTTGTTTGCAAGGCCTTCCGAGTGTTTGCTGCAATTCCACAATCAGAATATAGATTTGGCTTAAAATGGAACCTAGATCCATATATTAATAGCAACAACAGGGACTGCGGACCTCCTTGTTTCAAGATCTTTGGTCTCTGACTCCACCGCCGATGCTTGTATCTGGGTGTATGTTAAAGGTACCTCCCAACTTGATATGAAGATGGTCGGATTTAAGACACTGTTAGGATTAGGAGAGCCCTGTCAGCAGAGGTGCGCTGGACTATTGCTGATCGTTTGCACGGCATCAAGTGATCCAAACACATCGCACATAGAAGACTACCCCAGAGTTCCCAGCTGTGGCCAAAGTCAGCTTCGGCCCTCACTGCAGATTCCTGCAGGCCACCTGGCCATCAGGGAGAGTCCACACCCAGCATTAAGTAATTCCTTTCTCTGGACTCTTTTGGCTCTTAGCTTGGTGGGGTTTTCGCTATTAGATTAGCCGGTTAATGTTAGCATCAGCTGGGGTGGGGACCAATTCCCATTAGGTCATGGCAGGTTTGAATCAAATACCTATGAAAAGAATAATCTGGCCCTTTGGAAAACTGTTTGGCAGGAATCGCTAAAGCTGAGCCTTCTGTGACCCAGCAATTTCACTTCTAAATACCGCTACCCACAGACAAGCATGCGTGTATTCACCGAAAGACGCACACGGGAAGGCTCGTGGGGGCAGCTCTCCGGGGGTCCGTCAACATTACAGTGGGTAAGTAGGCTGTGTCACGGTCCAGCCATGACATACGATACAGAAATAAGATCGAACAGACTAGAATGGTATCTGTAAACTCTCTAAACCATAGCATGCGAAGTATTCGTTTTCTGGCACTGGGAAACAAATGGCCAACCAATTCAGTGGTTGAAAACAACATAGGCTTTTACCAGCTCACAGTGGTGTAGGTCTTAAATCTCGCTTCTCCTTGGAGGGCCTCACAGGCCGGGAGCTCAGGACCCTCTTCCCAGTTCATTCAGGTTGTGGCGGAATTCAGGATCTTTCTTGTGATTGGAGGACTGAGGTCCCCCATTTCCTTGTGGCCTGTGAGCCAGGAGCCAGTCTTGGCCCTCAGAGGCCGTCGAGAGCTCTTGCCATGTGGACCCCTCTGTCGCCAAAGCCAACAGTGAAGAGCTTCCCTCGAGTCCATCTGTCTCATGCTTCAAAATCTCTGTCACCAGGAAGAGCTTAGTCCCTTGTAAGGGCTCATGTGATCAGGCCCACTGAGAATAGTCTCCCTTAAAGCCAACTGATTTGGGCCTTAATTACATCACACCATCCCTTTACAGCAGCACCTAGACTGATGGTCGATTGAATAACTGGGAGAAAGTGCGAGTACCAGAAAGGATGAGGAATCTCAGGGGCCATCCTAGAATTCTTCCTACCATACACAACGACATGGAGGAATCTTCCAACTGATGGTGAGCGAAAGAAATCAGACATGAAAGAATATATAAGGTATGATTCTGTTTGTATAAAATGCAAGAACGGGAAGCACTGATCTTTGGGGTTAAAAGTCAGAATAATGGTTACTCTTGCATACATAGTAACTGGAAAGGATCCGGAGAGGGGTCTTGGGGGGGGACCGATAATGTTTTTGTTTCTTGATCTGTGTGCTGGTTACATGAGTGTGTTCAGCTTGTGGAAACTCAGCAAGCTGTACGTTTTTAGAATAATTTAGATTTCTTATTTTAAAATAGATTCGTTTTGTTTTTCCAAGGCACTATGCGTTCAAAGACAGCTATCAGAGAGGGTACTTGATGGGGGTGGGGAATCAGCAGGAAAAGAAAGGAACTGAGAGTGCTTCCCCAGCAGTGATGGGGGTGGTACCTCATGACCTCTGCAGGGGAGGACCAACGAAGTGAAAAGTTAGACTCTGTCAACTTGGACCGCTGTGCAGGACCTGCCACATAATGTGTGTGGTCCAGTGCAAAGCAAAATGCAGGGCCCCCTAGTTCAAAAATTATTATTATTTTTTTAAAGATTTAATTTAATTTATTTATTTGACACACAGAGAGAAGGAGAGAGCAAGCGCAAGCAGGGGGAGTGGCAAGCAGGGGAGAAGCAGGCTCCCCGCTGAGCAAGGAGCCCGACGCCGGCTCGATCCCAGGACCCTGGGATCATGACCTGAGCTGAAGGCAGCCGCTTAACCGACTGAGCCACCCAGGCGCCCCTAGTTCAAAAATTATTAAGAAGTTAAAGACAGCAAGAGTGGAACATTAAGCCAAGGGTAGGGGTGCGGGTGGGGCATTGGTCCCCCACCCGTGAAGCCAGCCCTGCCTCTCTGGGGGAAAATGTCACATCTCCCATTCCAAACACTTCTTGCTAGGTGAGTTACTTTGGGCAACTAGAGCTTTGGTCCTTTTGATTGTAAAGTGGGTTAGCTAGAGGCTAGCAGGCGCTAATTCAATTAATATATGCAAGAGCAAGCACTTTTTGATGTGTAAGACACCAAATAAATATAGGGATTATTATAAGAATGGGCCCTCTAAATGTTTATGTGTTCTTTCTTTAATTGACCTCATATATATTTTGGTACATAAACTCTTTACAGATAGCACAGGGTCCACTGCCACCTTGTGCAGTAACACGAATTCCAAGCTTATTGGTGAATCCCTAATCATGAGATTTGCCTCCCTGTTCCTTGGTCTTTCCAGCTCGAAGAGCAAACTACTAAAGGATAAGGCCAGAGCATTGGAGTCTGGACGCTTCCTCATCAAAGTCACTTTTTCTTGCTGCGATTAGAGTTTCAGTCTAGTTGGGGGCCGAATCCTTGCCCGGACTCCAGAACCTTCCCAGCGGTTGTGGGGCCCTGGGAAGGGGCGCCCAGAAATCATCCAGCGAGGGCTCCATGGTGAACGCCGCGGGCACGTGACTCTCCAGGCCTCGGGAGACTGCGGTGTCAGGATGACAGGGCTGGCACCTGGCTTTCAGGGCGGGGATTTAGGAAAAGGGGAGCACATTTAGGGACTTGGATTTCTGAAGAGGCGCGACCTCTGTGTTTATTTTCCCTGGCGTGCCCTCTGAAGCACAAACCTTTCCAGACTTGCTGACTTACTAAAGCTTTTGGGGACCGTGGTACCCTAAGGCGGCCGGCTGCCTGACCTAAGATTTATGAGCGGCTCCAAGGATGAGACAAGGTCCCAGTGTCTCGGTGACAACAAGGTCTTTGACGAACAGCCGCGGGCTGCAGCTGGGGAGAGGGAGGAGGCCTATGGTCGGGGTGTAGAGCCTCTGGATTTTCTCCCTGCAGGAGTTGGGTGCCCGGGGCGCAAGCGGGCAGCCCCGCAGGCCATCAGCATGCAGGAGCCGCGCGCGCCGTCCTTGAAGGGTTGCCCGCTGACCTTGCTCCGCTTTCTCCGGAGAAATCTCCCGAGCGCGAGGACGCGGTCACCGCGGTGACTCAGTGCCCTGCGCGCCGCAAGCAAACGCTCCCTTCCAGCATGCCCAGCTCCGCAGCCGCGGCTTCCCCTTCCTGCCCCCTTTTTTAATTCCACGATTCAAACCCGGCGTTTTCCGCTCCACCCCTCCCCCTCTCCACCGCCCGCCAGTCATTCGCCAGCCTGTCCGGGTGTTTGGTCCCCCCCCACCTCCCATCTGCAGAACTGAAGGCCAACCTTCGCGCTGCCTCGCTGCGGGCCCGAGGATCGGACGTGGCCCGCCCGGGGCCGGGCACCGCGCTGGGCGACCGCGACCCGGAGCCCGACCGGAGGGGGCAGTGCGCCGCGCTCTCGGCTGCTCGGGCGGACGGCGCCCGGGCCCGACTCCCCATTGGTCATCACCTCGGCGGGGAGGGGCCGCCCCGGGCCTGGGGCACCTGGAGTCGCCTCTCCGCAGGGAAATCGGCTGCTGCCGGGCACGGGCGCGCCCAGAGGTAAAGGCGTCCGGAGGGAAGGCCCGGGGCCGCGGCCGAGCTCTCGGCCACCGGCTCTGCCCTGCCCGCCGCTCCGGCGCCGGCCACGCTCGGATGCCCCCTGCGCCCGCCCCGCCAGGAGGAAACTTTGCCCCGCCAAGTCCCCCGCCCGCCTAACGGCGCCTAGAGGCGCCTGGTTGACCGCGCGCCCCGCCGGGGCCCCGAAACCCCGCGCGTGATTGCGGGGGCCCCCCGGCGTCCGGCGCCCGCCGCGCCCCGCCGTGCGCGTGCGGCCGCCAGGATGCGCTACGCGGACCCCTCGGCGAACCGGGATTTGTTGGGGAACCGAACTTTACTCTTCATTTTCATCTGCGCCTTCGCCTTGGTGACCTTGCTGCAACAGATCTTGTACGGCAGAAACTACATCAAGAGGTAAGAAAGTCCGAGCGCTGGTGGGGGTGCACGGAGCTCGCGGGCGAGCCCCCAGGTGGCGGCCGCAGCGTCGTCCCCGGAGTGAATGACCCCGGGGTCGGCACTTTGGCCACGAGCACCGCCGCGTTAGGTTTGGGTCCTGGCGCTCCGAAGCGCATCTGTCCTCCCAGCGGCAGCAGAGAGCCTGCCCTGCGTGGGCCGGAGGGGCCCGACAACTTTGTTCTCTTGTGAAAATGAGGGACGGCTTGGAATTCCGAGCGGCCACGCTGATGACAAATCCATCTGAATGCCCCGAGGGGCCACAAGGGTCAGATCGGTGTCCCCCAAATCTACAGTGCCATGGCCGTTTGGTTGGAGGGGAGGCTTCCGGGAGTGGAGGGCTCAAAACCGGTTAGGATTACCCTGTGAGTCCTGAACTCCTGTGGGGGCTCTTGGGGGAAAAGCATCCCCCCCACCCCAGGAGCGCCAGGTTAGGTGGGGAGTAATAGTGGGCTGGGACTGCGACAGGGATCGTCAATTTTCATGAACCAGTAACCACTGGATGCGTGAAACTCACAACCTGATCCGTCCTGAAACAGATGGTTCTCTCATGCTTACCCAGAAGGTCAGAGCTGCAGCAGGAGTTAACTCTCCCCTCGTTGGGCTCTCTTCCTCCACCCCCCCCGCCCCCATCCACCGCCAACTCTGTTGGAAGAAGGAGCAGTAGGAACTGTCACAGCCCGGGTCCCTGTGTGTGCGAAAATGCCAGCCGTTTTGTTCTCCTGGCGAGGAGAGACGCTTCGAGGTACTCTGCCCGTTTCAGAGCTTGGGGATAGCGGTTACCGCAGGATACTCCCACATCAGAGCCCCTTTTGGAAATAGCTTATCTCTCCTTTCGCCTGGAGGTTTGTTCTTTGCTGCAGTTAGGCTACTTCCCTTCCCCCCCCCCCCCCCCCCCCCCCCCGAGCTGGGGAGTATGAGGCCCCTTGCCTGGAACATTTGTTTTTTAGCCAGCCACAGCCCCTGACCTCCCCAGACAGCATTCTTCCCTGGAGGAGGGCAGCTGATGAGCTTTGCATGGTGCTGGTGGCTTTAAAGGACATTTTCGGGGTCTCCTGGCTGGCTTGGGTCTGCCTCCCCTTCTGGCTACTGCCGTGCCTCCAAGATAACCCCATGCAAGGACTGCTGGGCCCCTGCTGCACTTGTTACCTCCTCAGCAGGTGACTCTGGGTTCCTGCACTCTGTTGGCACCTACTCAGCACTGCTGGGGCTGCTGGGGTCCCTGCTGCCTTGTCAACAGTGGGAAAACATCAGTACTCATGCTCAGCGCCAGCTCATCTACTAACTGCTTGCTCTGGCAAGCCCTCCCTGGTCTTGTGTGGATGTGCGAGCCGCCCAGAGTTCAGCGGGCATGCAAGTTGCCTCCCATCCTCCCTCACACATAGATCCTGACTCCCTGAATCTCAGATGACTCCTCTCAGGCCTCACTCCAGGGACGTGGGTTAATCCAGTCGAGCAAGCAGAACTGGCCTATACTTGATCCTGGAAAGTTGCTGTGGGGGTCTGTGAGGAGGCAGATGGTGTGGTCCTGGTGTTCAGGAGGCTTGAGATCTCTTTGGGGAAACAGAATGACTGTAGAGGAGATAGTTAAGTAGTAAGTGTTAACTTGTCTGAGGAAGGAGGTACCAATGGGCTGGAGTAGTTAGGGAAGACTGCCTGGAGGAGGTAGAACCTGAGTGGGCCCTTGAAGGAAGGGTGAGATTTAGATGGGTGTGTGTGCGGGGAACGTGTGAACCGAAGAGTGTGTGAGCAAAGGTGCAGAGATGGGGCACCACCTCCTTTCCCCCCTCCCATGCCCAGACAACCCACTCATGCGTTCACCTGTCTTGTTTCGTATACATACAATCATAATGAACTGACTTGATGTGAATATTGGTCTGTGTCCTGTCTAGAAATACCTCACACTTGAGTGTTCCCCAAGCAGAGATCTTGGGACAGCCTCATGAGAATCGCCTGCAGGGCCACTGATACGCAGATGCTTGGGCTCAGAATTGGACTGTCTGGGGATAGATCCAGTATGTGCTTGTTACCAGGTGCCCACATGGTTCCTAACAAGCTCCCCCTGCTGCTCTAGACCCACAGTTCTCAAGGGAGAACAATGTTACCCCCAGGTGATATCTGGAAACATTTTTGGTTGTCACACTGGGAGAGGAGAGTGCTACTGGTGTCTTATGGATAGAGGCCAGGGATGCTGCTGAAGATCCCACAGTGCACCATCTGCTTCCCACAGGAAAGCGTTATCCAGCCCTAAATATCAATAGGGCTGAAGTGGAGAAACCCTGCTCTGGACCGAAAGCTCCAGGAGGCAGGGATTCACTCTGTTTTGGTGCCACCTGCACCCTGAGCACCAAATATGATGCCTGGCACGTAGTAAGCTCTCAATAAATATTGGATAATGAAGAAATGATTAAAAGTGGTGTGTGTGTATGTGTGCGTGTGCCCAGGGTAACTGGAAGAAACAGTGAAGAAATGGATCCAACTGGTATAAGGGAGAACGTGGAGAATGGGGACAGATGGAATGTTGGGTGAGTAGCTTTAGTGAGGTGCTCTGTGGATGGGGAAGGACAGGTTGAACTGGGTTCATTCAGTCATAGGGAGCCACATGTGGTCTTTGAGCAGGGTAATGATATGATAAAAGCCTCCGGGATGGAAGGTTATTCGGGCTTTGTAAGGAGAGGTTAGCGATGGGGAGAGGCTGGGAGGCTCTTGTTACAGCCTGGTACAAAGTGAGGAGAATCTGGTGTTGAGGGCAGATCCACTTTGGACGTTGGGGGTTCCTGAAGGCTGCCATTCTTCGTTTCCGTGCTGAGCTGGGCTGATGATGTATTCAGCAAAGCCTCCATTGTTTGCCACCTTACAAAGAGCTCAGGGGCACAAAGGTGACAAGCTATTTCAGTGAGAATTCGGGACAGACTTCACCAGAAGGGAGTGGGGGATGTGAGTTGGTATGTGTTCTTTCCTTGGACCCCTGGTCTCTGCCTGTGCTGTGCTGTGGCCACTTCTGGGGGTGCCCGTTGGAGCGATCAGGACTCTGGGGGCCCACCTTGCAAACACTTGCGGTGCTCAGAAGGGGAGAAGGTGGGCAGTGCAGATGGCTCAGGGGGCATAGTGTCTGTGGAGAATGTGCACACTCTGTGGACTGGGAAGAGAGAGCATGAGACAAAGCTGCGAAGTTTGCTGTTGATGTTCTTGGCTTCCTCCTACCTGCGCTTTGTTGAACACATACTTAATGAAGATTTGCTATATGCTGAACACCACGCTAAGTGCTGAGGACAGTCGTGTGGCAGGCGGACACAGTCCACGGTCTCCGGGGAGCTTGCAGTCTATTAGGAAGACAGAAAGGCACGTAATACGTACATAAACCAAATTGGAGGTGTGAGCAAGAGCTTCCAGAAATGAGGAGGGAGCCGTAGTGGATCAGGATGGCTTCAAGGTGCATGGAGGCATTTGAAGGGGGTCTTGAAGAAAGGAAAATGATCCGTAGGCATGGGGGAGGAGGAAGGAAAGGGGATGAAAGCCAGCTTGAATAAGGATAGCAAAGTGCAGGGGAGAGCTAAGTAATTCTGCATGACTCAGATATCACAGCTGTGTAGCTGGGGGCAAGGTGAGGCAGGCAGGGAGGGCCTGATTATGGAGAATCGAGTAGGAAATGTGTGAGAAGAAGCATGTCTGGAGGGAAGAGGGTAACAAATTTAAGTCTGGATCTGTTAGGACACTCACTGCAAGGAGATCCACATGGAGCTATCCAGCAGCTCCTTGGAAATGAGCTCCGGAACTGTGGGCGGAGAAGAGCCAGGCTAGCAATGCAGATTATTTAGTTACCATCAAAATCAGTGTTTTCCCAACTTTTATAATTGTTAGCCACAGTAAGAACTGTGTTATACGCAGGGATCTAGAACACACTCACATACACATCTGAAACAGCCATTTTGTGAAACAATGTTTGGCCTTATTATAAGAAATGTGCTTTGATATTTTCTATTCCACTTAATTTACAAAATAAATTCAGCCTTAAAAAGGAAGGGAAATCTGATACATAATATGGATGAATCTTTTTTTTTCTCAACATGGATGAATCCTGAAGACATTATGCTACAATAAACCGGACACAAAATGACGGATATTCTATGGTTCTACTTATATGAGGCACCTGGATTAGTTCATAGGGACAGAAAGTAGAATGGTGGTTGCCAGGGTCTGGAGGTGGGGTGGGAGGTTAGTGTTTAATGGGGACAGAGTTTCAGTTCGGGAAGATGAAAAAGTCTTGGAGACGGATGGTGGTGATGGCTGCATAATGGATTGACTACACTTAATGCCACTGAACTGTAGACTTAAAAATAGTTAAAACAGTAAATTTCTGTTATATATATTTTACCACAATACAAAAGTCGAAAAAATTCTCGGGGTAAACCACCAAGTTGATTTTATAACTTGTTGGCTTGAAACCCTTAGAAAAACACTGGTCCCCGTGATGAGGTTGGATGAGATCACCCAGGAGAGAGCAGAGTGAGGATGATGAAGGCCGGGGCACAAAGGAGAGCCTTAAAGACTGCCTGCATCTAAGGGTCCAGAGAGGAGAGCTGGCTCTGGAAACTGAGGCTGCAGAGAGGTAGAGGGGAATGGGTGTTAAGGAAACCAAGGCATAATGGTGCCAAGCAGAGAGCAACGGTCACCTGTGACACCCACTGCAGAGGGATCAGGTAGGATAAGGCCTACCCGGATTTGGCTATATGGGCAAGGACAGTTCTGGGGGGCGGGGGCGATGGGTCCAAAGAAGGATTTTCTAGAATCAGGGGCATGGAATTTGTACCGTCTTCCTCTAAGCCCTCCACTGCCCCCAAGCTCCTTTGTTAGTGCTAAAATCTTTACATGAACTTGCATCCCTAAGAGTGCAGAGGACTAAAAGTACTTACACTTTAACAGAGGGGCAGGGAAAGGGCAGTAGGTTTTTGTTGTTGTTG